GTATAAAAAATGTGAGACGTAATAATTCACTTCACGATCCAAATAACTTTGGAAATAATTCGTAATGAATTTTGTGTGAATATGCCGCACGGACTAAAACAACAGCGAGTGATACACCTGTCGCAATAGAGCAAGATCATATTAATGCCAATGAAACAGCGCAGAAGCCATAACATTATGTAATTCCGGCTTGTACTACACAATGAAGTTATATCCTCAAAGTCGGGAGGCCAACTATCCATTTTATAAAAGAGGTGAGGTGACTGTGCAGACGGTGGTAAGGGCGAGTGGTAAGGATTAATGACGAACGTCTCAGAGGTGAGATCAGAATTTGTCTGGAGCAGGCTTAATAGCAGTAGCTATTTGTGATGAAAGGAGAAAATTGTTTCATCAGCTTAAGATGACGAAAGTGAAAGCGATAATACGTTCAAGACTCTTAGCATATTTCTGGTATAGCCCTACCTAAGTCGAAACCCGACACGTCCAAGACGACATAGAAAGTATACACAGAGTTCAACACCGCTAAAAATGGGAGCACGTAGTAGCCCCTCCTACACGCTCGGAAAGAGATATAGTGTACGATACTCCAACACGCTCCCTAGTTTTTTAAGGAGGTTGGTCAAAGACTAAATTATATTAACATACGTTCCGCTATATTTTAGTGAACAATTATCAAGAACATGACATTTACGTAAGCTCTTATGGTTCGTAAGAATCAGGCAAATAAGAATAGATGACACCTCAGCGGGATTCTCTTTCAGGCTTTTCGTTTACAAATTTCATCTCAGAAAGAAATTACCATCCGCAACAAAGTGCATTTAAATGCTTTGGTATGCAACTTAAAAGCGCGCAGACACTCAATTGCACTTCCGAAAATAAAAAATGTGATCTTCCACATCCAACCGTTCCTGTTCTGCTTGACTAAAGACAGAAATAAATTTATAATATGTGTGCATGACACCGATGGGGACGGAAAACTAGACGCATTAGGAGTATCTAATGGCTGTAGTGGCACTATTATCCACTCGCAGAACATACCGCTTGGTGTGAAATGCTCTTAATCTAATAACATTCGGGTCCCTTTTGTGATTGGTACTACCCGTCGACCAAGTTAATAGGGCACTATTCCTCGTACAACCAACCGTGTTGTTCTAGAGAACAACCTTTCAAAAGAATTAGTGTCTTTGAAGGAATAGTGTCTGCAAAGTATTTGTTATAAGCATTTACAATACTTAACAAATCACTCGTCTTTTGACTTTAACAGTCGGCTATGAGTGCGGATATTTCTATCGCGAATGACTCGTGCTTTGCCAAAAAAAGTCGTTGATGAAATCAAACGGTTCCTTTCAGTTTGGCGAATATCGTATAACACAATATTCGGTTCCAGGAACCGAGTCATTATCATGAAGTACGCTTCTATCTGGAAATAAGACGGGTGGATTGTCAAGCATCACTTCATGAGATTCCTCACCCAGAAGACATAAAGTTATGTGGTTGTTTTCAATACTCAAGATAAATCACCCGTACTAAGGTTGGTCTTGGTTTAGTCGAGGAAAGATCCATTCAGAAGCGAAGATAAATTTTTAGTGCTAGTTCTAGTATACACCACTTCAGGTAGGCATTAAATTCAATAGAGCAACTGAACTATTCTACCGACACTCGCTAAATTCTAATAGATCTCCTAACGATCGTACACATTCTATAATAACCTTACCATCAGTGTTACAGTCACTACATTGATGTGTGTACAGCTGATCGCCATCATAAACGTGCGATGACTGTACTCTTTGTGTCTCACAATAGTCACCTCGATTGGGTTCACACTCCTCGAAAGGGTCATTATGTCACTGTTTTTAAGGTTGATAGGTTTATCAGCATAGATATGATCTGTACAAGAGCCGCTGTGAACATCGACATTCGATGGCATGTAACTTGACTCGAGTTACTATTCTCGTGAAGTACGTGGAAACTGACGTGCATCCGTAAAGCTGAGCTCTTGCTGCCTTGTTGTCCCGCCAAAGGTATTTGATTTGATATTCAGCGCATCTCAATCACAACCAACTTTATGCATTAAGTACCACATTTCCGTCCATGCTCATAAGATGAGTCCAACCCTCGCCGACTCAATGCAAGATCAAAATATATTTCGGCATTAAGTAAGCCGTTATCACAACGATGATTCATTCAGTAGGTTACTATATAAATATCTTTTCTTCATGCTCGCATCCTTGATATCGTTAGAGCAATGGTTTCAGATATTTTATTATTTGGCACACTAATAGACTCAGCCAATGGATGTCTACAAAAGCTCTTAATATCCCTAACAGAGTTTTGTTCATTAATCTTCATAGCTCGTTTAAAGAAATCCTGCATTGCGACAAAGGTCTCATGTCGTTAGTCGATATACGGTTCGTGGTTATCAAGCCAGACCATATCAAGGATGAGATCATACCTCGTGTCCAAATTTGGTGCTTAACAGCATTCAATGCCCTACACTCGGAAACCTTTACTCTTGAACTCAGATAATGATCAAGCATAGTGACTGGGTCTCTGTAGTCGCACGAAAACGGATCAGATTACCCTGTTGCTCATGAATTGTCTTAGAATACTTATCACTCTTTCCGAAAGAACAAGATTTGTGATAATACCGGACGCTCCGAAGTCGATCAAAATCGTCCAAAGGTTATCATATTCTTTGACAATCTCTTCGCGACCAAACGTATTGCTATTTATTCCTTCACCGTGTTAAAATACACGGAGCTCTTTTAGGCAAAGCTCTGTTCACCACTAACTTCCTAGTATGTACACATGAGCCAAGTCTTTCCCATCAGGACGCCCCACCCCTAACCGTGCTGTTCCCGACCGCAGATAAGTGACAAAATTTCGGCTTGAGGAAGCGTAAAGTTCCATAATAAATAATGGAAAATAGAGACATTGGTACTTCGTGCTTATACACGGCGGATGTTGCTATGCTAAACCACGAATCAAAATTATCTCTTCGTTGTCAACTTCCGCGATTCTGAGGCTTTTAGGCCTGACTTGTTATATAAACTAGATGCTTACGATATCTTTTTGATCAAGCCAACGGGTACCTTAACGAGCTACCTTCAAGTTAGACTCAGGGCTTAACACAACACCCACAGTCGTATCGAAGAAGCTGGGAGGACCCAAAATTGTTTATTTTTTTGCTGTCTTTGAGCGTAATCAAGTGATTAAGTAACTGTCCCACTCATTTTTAAAGATAAAGTGGCAATTTGGAGGCACGAGCAGAGGTTTGAACTTGTAAGATAGTCCTAAAAATCTTTCTTGCTTGATGCCAGCTATGTAACGGGGCATTCTTTGTTTTAAGGCCACGAAATGGCACGTACACTTAGTTCGTGCAGAGGAAGCTAGTCTACTTAAACGACTCGTTTAAGTTAAAACAAAAAGAGAACTCTATTTAACGTAGTTAAGCTATCAATGTAACTTTAACCTTTTTTTGACTGTAATAAACTACGTCGTCGTGTGACATAAATTCGCTCACCACTCATTGCGCGCGTCAACCAGCGATTGGTGGCAATCTATGATTGATATGTCTAATGTTAACCAATTTTTGAGCAGCGCATGAATAGTATCTAAAAAGGAATATTATTCCTTTATTGTTATCCGTCTCGGTAATATTGGTAGAAAATTGTCATCTAAGACAATCTCCCTACTGACACCGTTTGGTGTCAATTTCATGTGACGGGCTACCCCGTTACATCACCCCACCCATTGACCATCATCTACCTGCCGATTAAATTAGAATTGATTGGAAAAGGGTGACCATTGTTGGATCACTCTGGGAAAGGGAGCACTTGTTGGTCAAATCCCATTCATTTACCAATCCAGCGTATGGTTTCGAAAACCACGTAAGTTGCTACTGCAGCAGACAGAAGAGAGGCTGCACGCATGCGTGCAGACGCGGAAAGTGCCTTTCACACCTCTGCAGAGGGTAATTTGTCGTTTGCTGCTGTTATCAGTCCACGTGACGAGTCACCACATGCGTAAGGTACATCCGCTGCGTCTGCAGCGGGTACCTCGAGTCGTGATCAAGATGAGTGTGAAATAGAGTTCATTTATTTTGGTGATTCGGATGATGCATCCGACTCAAACGCGTTACCTTACGTCTCCGGAACACCCGAGGCGGACACTGCAAGAGCCAGGTTGACTGGATCTGGTAAAAGTGGCGGCATCATGATCGAGATCTTCGGATCGAGCGATTGTCTCGACGAATTCTCGCCTCACGCGAGTCCATCCAACGATAGTAATCGTGGGGATGATGGTAATGCATCTATACATCACCACGAGAGAAGTAATTTGAGGGATCGGGGTAACACTGGTGTCAGTGTTCATGCTGACGCCAATCAAAAGGCCAGGGACCGAAATGTCCTGCGCCGCTCTCCTAAAGTAGAGTCTCCTTGGATGCCGTCATCTAAAGAGTTAGATAGAGTGGCCGGCATGACTGATGATCGGAATCCTTTGCTCGACTATAGAAATATCTTCCCCCCTAATTTCAGCACGGAAACTATCCGTACTGAGAAAGAACATTTACCGATGCATTTTTCAAGCATCGGTGGTACAATGGCAGCCGTGTTCAAGGCGATAAGGCCTTGGTGAAAGGATTTTATGTACTCATCCACAACATCGAGTGCATTGGCCTTGAGGCCAGGCTCGCCAAACTCTGATGCAGCTCGCATCAGATTTGAGAAACGCAACCCACGAGAGACAATGTGATCCTGCCTCTCGTGGGGTGATTCGTGTCCAGGTTGCCTTGAAACTCGAACCGTGCCCCTAGGGAGGCATACCTCCCTATTGTTCCCTACTGGAGGGCGCGCATCTCTTATAAGATAAACGAAGGGAATGACACCTTGCAATCCCTGTACTCGCGTTCGGGGAGGTCATTTTCCGACGGCCCTTCTTCAACGCAGCGGGTGGGTATCGTCGTACTGCTCAACGAGATTTAGGACATCAACAATCAGCTAGGCACGAGGCTCCCAGCTGTCACGCGCCGGTGGATAGCCACGCCAGTGGACGAGGTAACTCGTCCGGACGCCATTCACGTCGCGGTAGTTCAAAATACGCTCCACCAGGAAGCGTTGACCACCGCCAGAATCCACCAAAGGATGTGGTGGCGGTGGGAACAACTGAGCCGGCTCGAGGGTTGGATCAGCTTGATGTTCAAGAGCTGAACCGTCAAACATAACAGTTGCAAATTGACCTGGCTCATGAACGGACTCGGCGTTATGAGCTTTAAGATCTTGTGAGGGATAATTATAATTCCCTAACGCACGATCGTTCGGACGATTGTGCCGCTTTTGCGTTTACGCAACTTGAAAACGAACGTTCGACTCGTTCTGTTCGTGACGAGCTGGCTGCAGCTCGTCAAGACATCCCTTGTCTGCGTGAGTAGGTCGCTTCGCTAGTCGACAAGACTGGCTCGTTGAAACAGGACTACTCGAAGGTGGTCTCGGCTCTCGACCGCGGAGGTGATCTTCGCATCTCGAAACGGGCTCGAACTGATAGTACTGGCGGATACGTCCATCGCAAAACTTAAGATGCGTAAGCATCTTACGGGGCATTTTATAATTGTGTTTGCGTTGCCCATTCGGCGCAACACACGAAATGGACCGATAATCTTGGACAGTAATTTACTGCTGCCCACGTTTGTCACTATAAATTTCGGTAGGTTTACTATAGACGGTAAAACTAGGTCTCCTTCATCAAATGAAAGAAAATTTGCTCTTTCATGTTTGTCCGCGTTTATCTTCTGCTTGTCTATTGCAGCGGCAATTAACTTTTAAGCGAAGCGGACAACAGCTTCGCGAGTCAGCAGAAATTCCTCTGCTGTTTCATCCTTGTCAACAACAGTGCACTTCGTGTGCACTGCTAAAAGAACGTCGTCTTCACCAGTGAGGGCGTCGTCGTCCCTACTGTAGCAGTCGTTAGCGATGCTTATTATGCCAGCATCGTCGTCATCATCGTCATCGGTGTCAATGCTAACGACATCGGAATCCTTCATGTCGACGTCATTGTCGACATGTGATGAGCAAGAAACAGATCGGTCTTGTTCGAGCGAGTCCATTCCTCTTAGACTAGAGTCACACTCTAAGAAGGCTGGAAAACGTATATGACGTAGGCCATTCACGAAAAACGTTGTACGCGTTGTCGGCGCATGCACCGAGTTGTTGATGATGAATTCCACCATCGGCCAGAACTCACTCCAACTCGTAAACGAGTGGGAAAACCCTCGAAGTATCTCTTCGAGGACGCAGTTGACGCGTTCCGTTGGACCATCTGTTTCGGGATAGTCATGAGTTGACATCGTCAAACGTGTTCCGAGTGAAAGGAGCGCGGATTGTCAGAACTTCGCTGTAAATCGGGGGTCCATATCAGACACGGGTTCACGGGGTAACCCGTGGAGTCGGATGATCGTATCGATGAAGAAACGAGTACAGCCCTGGGCTGTGATTGACTCCGGTGCAGCAACAAGAATAAACATCTTGCTGAACCGATCAACAAACACAAGAAAAATGGTATTCTTGTGGACGTCTTCGGGAAACCCGAAGACGAAGTCCATCGATACGGACTGTTAGCACTCTGCCGGAATAGGTAGAGGATGCAAGGGTGCACGGGAAGAAGGATTAGGCTTCACCCGTTGACAAACTTTGCAAGCGCGAATGTATTTCCGCACAAACTCATACTAGCGGGATCTGTAAAAGTCACGACTTACAGTGAGGCAAGTATTTTCTCTACCACGATGCCCACTTGTTGGGGCATCGTGACACTCATACATGATGCGCAATCGAAAATCCTTATGAGCCGGAACGACGACACGAGGTGTTTCGCCGTTGACTGATGTACAGTACAGTAGTCCATCACGACCTGAATACCGTTCGGTTGAGGAGCGGTATTGAGAAGACAAGCTTTTCAAAGCTTGACTGCACGGATTGGATGCGTAATCCTATAATCGCAGAAGAGACTCATCTTCTGCGTATGCTTTCCGCACGTCGTCAAGCAGATTCTACGACGGAACACTCACGGTTAGTGTCGCTACCGTGGGATCACCCCTACTGTTGGGTTGAGCAGTCGGCTCGAAATCGGGCCGACGCGAAAGAGCATCAGCGACGACATTAAGTCGTCCTGGTTCTTACTCGACGGAGAAGTTGTACTACACGAAGAAAGTCAGCCACCTCGCCATTCGTTGAGAGAGTTGCGGACTGTTTACAGCCGTGCGTAATGACGCATGGTCGGTATGAACGATGAAGGGCCTATCTACTGAGAGATGTAACCGAAACTTAGCCAGTGCATATTTCATGGCAAGGAGTTCCTTATCATGAAACGGATAATTTCGCTCAGCTGCTTGTAGCTGACGCGATAAATAACAGACGACGCGCTCAACGCCGTCTTAGTCGTACTGAATTAACGCTCAGCCGATTGCGAAATCACTGGGGTCACAGACCACATGGAATGGTCTATCCGGGTCTGCTGTCGCCAACATTGGAGATTGTATGAAGCTTTCTTGGAAACCTTCGAAGGAGTGCTGGCACTCAGCACTCCATGACCACCTTTGGTTTTTCTTTAGTAGACGAGAGAGATGTACGATCATCTCGGCGAAGTTGCGCGAGTACTTGTGCAAGTACGCCGCCAAGCCAAATAAATTTCGAAGTCTCTTGACGTCGACTGGCACGGGCCAGTCGCAAATTGCCTTATTCTCTTTCAGGTCAGAGCGTACGCCATTTTCACCCACGATGTCGCCAAGAAGTGGCATTCGTTCTTTGCCAATGTACACTTCTTGAGGTTCGCGAACAACTTATGCTTTCGACTAAGTGTAAGGACCTTCCGGACGTGAATTCTATGAACCTCCACGCCCGTCTTTTCATCCATAGCCCGGCTACGGACGAGGACAGTATCAAAGTAACTCGGTGCAAAGTCTCGCACCGATCGCAACAGATCCGCAAAACATCTGTTGAGCGTTTTAGGGGCGTATATTTCCCCTGTGGCATCACTAGCCACTCCCAGAGCATACCACTGGTGGTGCTCACGGCTGTGAAAGAGGTGTCTTGTTCACGCATGAGGATCTGATAGAAATTATTCATCAGATCCATGGACGAAAAGATGGTACTTTTTGCCATACTATTTATGATGACGTCCTTCCTCGATATCGGCTTCTGAGCCGGTACCGTTGCAGCGTTCAATTTTTCGAACGCGTACACTATCCGCCATCCTCCTGTGAGCATTCGTTCACAAAAGGTCGTAGAGCTGTGTGGGAATGTTGATTCCCTCGCATGACCAGCCGCTAAGCGATGGGCAAAGAATTGTCGATCGCTGTGACCTGTTCATGAGGCAGTGGCCACTGCCTCATGACACAGTATTTCAAATTGGGTTTCAATTCAATCTCATGCCGAGTACATTTGTCCTTGGACATCTCGCGTGGCACGGATTCAGGTAATACATCCCTGAATTCGACCAAATTCTTATTTAAAGGATTTGTCTCTAAAGACTCCCAAGATTGAGACGTGTATCGTTCAATCCGTGTCTTCTCATCAAGGACACTCTTGTCCATCGATGAGATACTGCGAACCCGTTCGTTCTCAGCAAACACTGGTGCCGACCGAATATCAGCGACGTACTCGGCCTCTGTGACGAGTACGCAGATCTGCTTAATCTTGTCACTACGCAGATCTCGCAAGAATATTTTAGATTCTAGCGTTGGCAACTTGACTACCTCCGAAGTTGACTTCGGAGGTGTAATCAGATCAAGTGTATAAGCGCCTACACTTGATCCGTCATTCACCAAGACATTCACTGACTCGGTGATTTCCTAGGAAAACACATCCGCAGGTGATTGGGATCCACACCCTCAGCATAATTCTCTCGGGAGTTATCACTCACATGATCGCTGGAACTTTCTTCCAATACTTGATCGGACTATGGTTGTACTACCACAGTGACTTTATCTTCGATAGACTCTCTTTCAGTCGATCGGGCTTGCTCTACGATCGACTCTCTGGTATTCGATATCGCTTCAACATGTGGTTCATCCTGAATAACACTTATCTCTCTTCTCGAATGCAACCTTCCTGGTGTGCATCCGTGTTCCGGTCCACTCGATCTCTTCGAAGTGGTGAACCTTCGTCGCAGCCTGTGTCTCTACACAGGTGCCGGAAGCTGGTTCCACAGTGTAGTGGCCTTCTACACTATGATCTTGTGCAATCGTACTAACGACCGTACCACAAGTGAGACCATCGCACTCACTCGTCGAACATCCACACACTTGGGGACGCTCCAGACGTTCATCAGATGGCCATCCGATGAACAAACGGCAGGCATCTTCACGTATCAATGCTGCCAGCTAACCCATGGCCGGTTTTGTCGAAGCCATGGCCTAACGAGGATGACATCAAATTTTTCACCCAAATCTAGTAAGATGAAGTCATCATCGTACTGCTTTCCTTCTAGCGTGTAGTGGATTCCCACTACACGTTTGTCCACTGTTACGGATGCTCCTGTAGCAAGGCACACCGTCATCCTCGTAGGAGGGAACTCTCGCTCAACATAGTTGAGCCTACTATCCCTTAGCGACTGACGTCGGATAAAACTGTTCGACGCCCCACAGTCCACAAGGGCGCGAAGTGACATTCCACTTGTCACTTCGATCCTCAAAGTGATGAGAGACTCCTCATCACTAGGGGCAACAACTATACGCAGCGACTGCGTGTTCGGGTCAATCTTCGTCAAGAGTCCTGCAAGTTCTCTTGACGTTGCTGGATCAGCAGGGTGCTCCGCCCCTACTGACCCTGTCCGTTCTTTGACGGTCCGACTTGCTTTCGAGGGTTAGCAACATGGTCGGACCCTCACCTTGGACCTTTCCTTGGCCAATGGCGGTCATCACGTCCCTTTTTGGACGTGATGCGGTGCTTGGGACGCTACACTCATGAGCGTAGCGTCCTATCTTCTAACAGCGATGGCATCTTGCCGTTCGAATGTGACTCAGAGAGTGAGGGTTCTCGCCCTCGACGTAACAGAGGTCCATTGGTTCAGGACATCCTGTCTCCCGTCTTTTCGTCGGACGATATTTTGACGAGTTAGCCTGAGACTATCTCAGGCTGACGTCTTCATGTTCCCCAGACGCTATCGCCTCTTTTAGCGTATGGAAATCCTCTCGGAACATGTCGGTCTTCACCGGTTCATCTACAGGACCGTAGATGAACACGTTGATGAGCGAGTGCTCATCAAAAGGTTTTTCCGTAACGCTACGCGCAAGGTAGCGTAGGTGCTGTGCGTAAGCGTGCACGCCACGCTTACCTTGCTTTTTTTTCAAGAGTGCAGAGCTTGCTCTGTGCTCGGCTCTCGGCGGCTCAAACGTCTCTTTATGCCGAGACTATAAGATCTACATCGACTCAAACACGTTTGAGTCGTAAAGCTTGAGCCCTAAGGCCCAAGGCATTGCTCGGCCCGTCAAATTTGACAGGGCGAAGGTGACTTCGCCCGGCCTGGATATCGAATTAAAGACATAATTACTTTGAATGAACTGAATTAAGCGCAAGTATAGGTTGCTTCACTTCGATATGTAGGTGGCAAATTGTAAGCGTCTTATAGCCACTTCAGTTGCTGATGTTGTCGCGCCAGATCATTATCATCTTTCACTTCAACGTATGTGCCCGTGACGGACTGTCTTGTACTTGTGAACATGCTTTAAGCGCAATCCTGGATAAATTCCTTAATGTTTTAGGTTGGGAATTCCAGATGAAGGTTTAAGTGTTAGTGCTGCCAAGTTATGGAAACATTAAAAAAAAGTCTCGATCATTTAATAGAGTATATGACACTGTGGCAAGTCATATGACATTAAAGCTTTTATTATACTTCCGGCGTTAAATATGGACAAGTACAATATCCGATTAGTCACGATCAATGAGGACATTAACCATTTTTATGCGCAAACAATGGTGTTACGACACTTGTTCTAAAAAACATTTTGATCCATTAAAGAAAAATTATCGCAATCTACGATACTCGCTC